ACTTTAGGTAAGTAAAAATTTACTAACAATAATATATATATATATATATATATATATATATACGTTGAATTTTTATTTCAACAATTTTACTGCACGATCGAGTAATTGGCTTATTCGTTCAAGGTGCTGCAAGAATCGCAAGGAACGTACATGCCTGTGCTGGCGTTCACCGTGATTACTCTCCTTATATGGTTACTGATTTATCGTTACGTGCCAGAGACTGAAGGGAAGACCTTGGAAGAGATACAAATAGAATTGCGAAGAAAGAACTGACGATTTCGACGCTAAGTTGTAAATTGTTCGACAATAAATGGTATACGATTCCTTTTTAAATGAAAATATTTCATTCTTTTCCTCGCTTGATAAATTGTAATTTTCACGCAAAGCATATCTCTAGGTTGGAGTTCTATCGATACGAAAATTATTAATATCAAATCTGATTATGGTATCGAATATTTAAAGATGGATGCACCAACTTTAATCAGAGACCGAATAATCTTCGAAACTTGTGAATGAACGTGCAGTGACGAAGTATTATTAGATTTCCTGTCGATTAAAGTTTCACCGCGCTATCGTTACAATTATTCCTTAAAAATAAGAAATTCCAACCAGTTCTTTTTACGCCATGGTGTCTTATTTCTTTAATTTTTCGAACAAATTTTTCTATCTGTAACAAAACTTACAATATGCAATAATGAAATTTCATTGAAAATTCCCTCTCAAAAATTCATTCTTCCCTTCTTTTTTAATTCTGTAATAACACGAGCTAGAACAAAACGTTACAAAGCCTCTCTATCCTCGCGTTGTAAAAACAAAATTATATTCAAAACTTGGCAAACCGAGATCTCAATTATTCCTTCAAAAGAGACACCCGTGAAAAATTGCTCCGCAACGATAATCTTCCAAATTGGACGAATTTTCTTCCAATTATTCCAATGCGAAAAAAAAAATGCTCAAAGAGAGAACAAGAAAGAAGATCGATACCCACTCTCGATCCTCCCACAGGAATCAGATCAGACTGTAATTTCGACAAATTACGCTGGAAACTGCGCGAGAGGAGGGTGTGGCGAAGGCCTCGTTTGATCGGCCAAGTTTCTGCAAAGAGAATCGTTGATATCACGGCGCATCCTTCCCTCCCCAACTATTTGAGTTTCGAGAGGAGGCAAAAAAAAAAGAGAAAAAAGAGAGCGCGTGCCGCGTTAACTCCGTTCGAACTCCGCCGTTCGAAAACATCGCCGCAACCATCCTCCGTGTGTTTATTCGGGTTGGGCCGGCGCTGGATTTGTTTGCGCTCGTCATACGAAATTTCACCCGGCCGAGTGTACACACTTTAGCGAGCTTTGATAATCCTTTTATCTCCACTCTGCTCGTTTCATTTCGCTCTTCTCCTCCTTTCTTTCGTCGTTGTTTTTTTTTCCCGCACGCGCGCGAAATTAGTCGCTGAAGTATCGCGAGATTCGCGTTTCTTTGCGCGAATCGGCCGCAGTCTGGAACGCACTCCTCCCTTTTTGCGAGTTTTTGGAATTTAGTTTGACCCCGGAAGAATTCGTGGCCGCTCCACGACGCGACGGTGTTTCTTTTTCCTTTTTCTTTTTCTTTTTTTTTTTTTTTTTTTTTAGAGAGAGAATTTCGCCCGAAACGTTTGCTCCTGTGAATGCACGGCTTTGTGGAGATTTCAAGTTGTGTGTATGTGCATACGTGTTAAACTCGAACGTTTAATAATGTGTTTCTCCTCCCTCGTTCTGTTGATAATTACTCTTTTCGAGGGGAAAGGAGTTTTCTTGGGAAAAAGGAAAAAAATTCGAGATATTCGAGGCGAGTGGGTTATTCGGATCGATGCGAAATTGGAAAAAAAGGGATTGGAAGAGGGAGGTGAACGACACTGCGAGGCGTTCGATTCTGAATTTGTTTCGTTCCTTAAACAGAACGCGAACGAGCTGGTTTCCAGGTGTAAATAAATTTAGTTCCGCTTCTCACTCTCCGCGAAATTGTATACACCCCCTATATACTGAAACTGAAATTACTGTACCGGATATTAAAATTTACACGTCACTCCTCCGGTTGGAAATTAACGGCCCGCCTTGTTTGTTCCCCCCCCTCCCTGTAAGTTGTAATTTGTGCAAATATTTTCACACGTAATCGTGGAAATCGGGTCAAAGAAGGTACACGTTCC